TGGCAGGTCCGGGCTGGGGATTCGAACCTGCCACCTTAGGTGTACGTGGCTGGCGCCTTAGCCGGTTGAGCTATAGGCGCCGAGCCCATTGTCACTTTTCTTAACTGAAGAGCTTCCCCATGCCATTGACTTCAGGGACAAGGGGACCCACCCAGTTCATGGCTTAAAGTGAAAGTGCCAAGGACCCAGGGGGCTTGAGCCTGAGGTTGAACTGGGTCCAAGATGTCAGATCCCTCAGGGATTGGGGGGGGGGGTAGAATGTGCAGCTGGGGTGCAAGAGCCTGCCTTCTTAGGCTGGGTCAGGCCTACAGATAGCACGTGGTAAGTTGGCTGCAATCACTGCCACAGTTAGCCCAGCCCCCCTGCTCCTGCCTTGGGACCCCAGAGCAGCTTGTTCTCATTTTGGGTGGCTGGAGGCAAGGTGTGACAATTCAGAAGTGGAGTCTGGGTCTCCTTCATGGTCATGTGCCTTTGCTTTAAGAACGTCTTTCCCAGGCACAAAGAAGTAGGACGCTGGCCCCATATGCCAGAGGTGGCAGGTTCAAACCTGGCCCCAGCCAAAAACTGCAAAAAAAAAAAAAATCTTTCCCAATGACCCCTTTCCAAAGACCCTAAGCAGATCCTGGCCACCAAGGATGTTTCAGAGTTTGGTGTTCACTCTGGCTAACCCCTGCAATTCAGTCACAGACCAAAGCCACTGAATTATAAGCAGATTCAGCTTACTGGTAATTTCAGCCACTGGGACTGAGCTGTTGAGGGGATGGTATGTGAGGCAGGCCCGTGAGGCTTGCAGAATGGAAACATCATTCCTGGGGTTATTTTAATTGCCCTGGACAAACTGATATAGGGCATGTCTACAGGGACACAGATGGATAACAGATCATCCTGAAGTCCCTCTGGTGTGCTCCCAACATACCGACAGGCCACTGCAGTGAGCTCTGATGCCATTTGGGGAGTATTAGCAAGGAACTGCTTTGAAGGAACAACTCTTTCACATCCATTCTCATCACATCTTCCCAGGGGCCCTGGAGGGGGCCAAGGGGAGCCCAAGATGCAAGGTACAGGAGAATGACCTGGAGTAAATCTTGCTAGGACCAGGACTCTAGCCCTGTGCCCCTCCAACCTAGGAGTCAGCATCACTGTAATTCTCTAGGCCGCCTCTTTTCTTTTCAGAACTGTAAAAGGCTCCCAGAGCATCACCCACCACTGGCTTCCTCAGAGTGAGAGTTGCTTTTGCCTGCTGTTGCCTGGCGCCACCAGCTTCCCACTTGGCCAGTTATTTCACACCACCCACTCCTTCCCAAGCCTCTTCTGCTGCTCCATGGCCTTGCTTCATCCTTCTCTGAGAATTGCCTCCTTTCCACCCCAAGTCCCAGTTTTCTAAGACTGCCAAAATAAATGGTCACAAACTTGGGGGCTTAAGCAACACGGTTATTACCTTGCAGTTGCATAGGTACTGTGGAACACAGCATTCACTGGGCTGAAATCAAGTGCCGGCAGGCAGGGCCGCTTCCCTTTCTGGAAGCTTACAGGTAAAGCATCTCCTTGCCTTTCCTCCATTCAAAAGACACTCACACTCCTTGGCAGATGGCCCCTTCCTCCATCACCAGAGTTCCTTTGATGTTGCATCATTCTGACCCTTCATCCATCCACACATCCTCCCTCTGACCCTCTTCTGCCTTCAAGGATGCTTGTGATTACACTGGGCCTGCCTGGATAATCCAGGACAATCTTCCTATCTGAGGGTCCTTAATCCTTAATCACATTTGCAGTCTCTTTTGCCACATAAAGTAACGTAGTCACAGGTTCTGGAATTGGGATGTGGTCATGGGGCAGGGGGTCATGTGCCCACCATATTCACCTGTGCCCTGGACCAGACATTTGAGTTCCATTGTGAGCAGTGATGCCAGCTTCCCACACGGGCACTGGGTCTCCCACCCTCTCCTGTGCCCATTGACTCTGCTCTTTCCATTGCATCCTTACCTTCTCTCCTGTGGATTTTTTTTTTTTTGAGACAGAGTCTCATTTTGTCATTCTTGGTAGAGTGCCGTGGCATCATAGCTCACAGCAACCTCAAGCTCTTAGGCACAAGTGATCCTTTGCCTCAGCCTCCCAAGTAGCTGGGATTATAGGCACCTGCCACAATGTCCATCGATTTTTAGAGATGTGGTCTTGCTCTTGCCCAGGCTGGTCTCAAACTCCTGAGCTCAGGGAATCTTTCTGCCTCAGCCTCCCAGAGTGCTAGAATGACAGGTGTAAGCCAATATGCCCCATGGATCATTCTTTTCTTTTTCTTTTTGAGACAGAGTCTCAAGCTGTCGCCATGGGTAGAGTGCTATGGCATCATAGTTCACAGCAACCTCCAACTCGTGGGCTCAAGTGATCCTCTTGCCTCAGTTTTTCTATTTTTAGTAGAGACAGGATCTCGCTTTTTGATCAGGCTGGTCTTGAACCCGTGAGCTCAGACAATCCACCCTGCTGGGCTTCCAGAGTGCTTGGGTTACAAGTGTGAGCCACCAGGCCTGACCTCCTGTTTTTACAAACAAGCTGTAAAAACATCTCTGGACCCGACATAACCTATTAGCCTCTGCCTCATTTCTCTGCTCTAAAATAAAATTCCTTGAAAGTGACATTGACACTTTCACTGTCTCTACTTCTGCACTTCTGGTTCTTCTCCATTCCTCTCCACCTCCGCAATGAATGTCAAGATCTCCAGCCACCGCCATGTTTCCCAACCCCGAGCGCAGCCTGGGTTTTTAGCTTAACCTCCTGGGGTTATTGCTCCCTCCCGGCCCCCTACGGAGTCCACGCCTCCAACCTCATGACCACCAGTCCCGGGCTGTCCTTCCCAGTCCCCTCACTCCACACTCCTCTCTGCCGACCTCGATGGGCATATCCTTCCCAAGGTTCGGTCTTCAACCATTCCCTGTCGCCCTCACGTGTCCCTGATCCTGTCCGTTTGTTCCACACTGTGTCCCTGATTCAAAGCCCCTCTCCAGCCTGCTGGCTCCCCTATATCCTCCGGTCTACTCGGTGCCGCTATTTAGATGTCTGACGGGCATCACCAACCTACCACAGGCAAACAACTGATTTTCACCCATAAAGGTATGGTAACTTTCCCGGGGTCGCCATTTCTTGGCCCCTTATTAACCAGGCAAAATAATCTGAGAAGTCACACTCATTCTCTTTCTTTTCCTGCCATCCCACTTTTTTTTTTTTTTTTTTTTTTGAGACAGAGCCTCAAGCTGTCCCCCTGGGTAGAGTGTCGTGGCATTACAGCTCACAGCAACCTCCAACTCTCCCAAGTAGCTGGGACCACAGGCGCCCGCCACAACGCCCGGCTATTTTTTGGTTGCAGCCATCATTGTTGTTTGGCGGGTCCGGGCTGGGGATTCGAACCCGCCACCTTAGGTGTACGTGGCTGGCGCCTTAGCCGGTTGATCTATAGGCGCCGAGCCGCCATCCCACTTTAAATCATTCAACCCCACGAGCTCTACTTCTAGATCCTGTCCCCATCTGTCGTCGTCGTCTTTGCCACCGACCGAGTCCTCTACCCTGGGCTGTGGCAGCAGGTCTTTGACTCCTCTCCCTCCCTCCCGACCATCGCCTTCCGGGGTTTGCGCCGCTCAGCCCACCCGCCCTTCCTATGCTCTGCTCTGGACTCGGGACTTTGCAAGTGACCCGAGGGCCAGGATCCGGCCAGTCTAGCTAGCTCAGTCCCGCGCGTCCGGCTCTGGAGCCCTTCTGGCGCTACCGGTAAGCTGCGTTGCGGAACACGAGGGATTTGGGAATCGGATAGATTCGAAAGAGACGAGTTCGCGAAGCCCAGGTGCTCGGCGAAGCGGAGGCGAGCCGCGGGGCCTCCTGGGAAACGTAGTTCCAGCCCCTCGTCTCTATTTTTCCGAGGCTGCCGCTGGACGACCCGGGACTACGATTCCCAGAGGCCTCTCCGGCTCGAAGGCTACGCTCCCCGTGGCCGCGCGCTCTGAGCCCGGCCTCTAACGGTGCAGCGTCACCCGTTAAGAGGCTTTGCGGCGTCTCCCGCGTTTCGGAGGTATCAAGAAAGGACGCGAAGAAGGCGCGTTTCATTGATGCGCGGAGAAGCGAAGGCTAGGGAGCTGCCCCTGGCCGGGGCGGCCGTCTGCGGGTCTGCGCCCTGAGCCGCTGGGGCGGGCCCTCCTCTGGACAGTGGGGTCGTGGGTTGTGGTCATCAGGAGGCCCGGGCATCGGGAGTCCGAAAAGCTACCCACAGGGTTCGAAAGTGCAGCCAAAATCAACGACTGAGTCAAGGCTGAGGAATGGAAGCAGGTTTCTCGAGAAGGGGAAACAAGACTGTTGACCATACCTGAGACCAAGCCTCAGCTTTGCCCATTGTCCATCCTACAAATGTGTTTGTAAGTAGGAAGGGAAGGTC